CCAGGTCTTCCCATGTGAGTGCAAGGGTCCAAGGACTTGGGCCACCTTCTACTGCTTTCCCAGGCCGTAGCAGAGAGCCGGATCAGAAGTGGAGCAGCCAGGACTTGAACCGGTGCCCATATGGGATGCCGGCAGTGCAGGCTGCAGTTTTACTCGCTATGCCACAGCACCGGCCCCCTCCATAAAATTTTGAAGTACCCCTCTGATTAAATACCAGCAGATTAGAGTTCTAGATATATAATTAAATTTAATCCCTCTTAGGATGGAGATATTTCATTCTTTGACAGTCTCTGGGAAGTGATTAAAACAAACTAGAGGTGAGAAAAATAGAAGATTGGGTTAATTTTGGCATGTGAGAAGAGCAGAAATTCTTGAACTATATTCACATTCAAATTTTAGGGCTAAAATTGTAGACTTTATACATTATTTATGGTTTTTCTTTTTTGAAAGGACTTATTTATTTATTTGGAAGACAGAGCAATAAAGGGAGGGGGGAGAGAAGGAAAACAGGAGAGTGGGAGAAGAGAGTGTATAGTATGCATTTCCCTCTGCAAATGACCATAACAGCCAGGGCCGGGCCAGGCCAAAGCCAGGAGCCAGGAGCTCCACGTCTGGGTCTCCCCTGTGGGTGGCAGGGATCCACACACTTGGGCTGTCTTCTGCTGCTTTCCCAGGTGCATTGGCAGGGTACATTGAGTAGAAGCAGAGCTCAGGATATGCTGAGGAAATCTACCATAAACATTGTATTTTGAAAGATATGTTAGTAAAAGAAATAGATAAAATTCATTACATTGTCAAAAAATATACTTTTTGTGATTTCTGGGCTTCAAATTCCTGTAACTGATAAGCTGTATTATTGTCATTAATGACAGTTTTCATGGATTTGTACTACCTGATAGGTTTTTAATTTTTCATAGGAATTTTGTTATTTCGGCTCCGAGTCGACTTTGTGAAGTTTATAGGGGAAGTGATCATTCCATTTCATATTTCTTGCCCAGGGTCACTGCTTTATAAGGGCATACTACAATTGTGTTTTCAGATAGAGTTTAAAATTCCAACCAAATGTAATTTTAAGTGACTTTGTAAATGAAGCTACATGTACTGTTAATTTAATATCTTTTCCCCAGTATGAGAAAAAGAGACTTCAGAGAGTTGGGGGACAATAGAATTTTTCCTTTTAAATTAATGAGATCAAGAGCATCCTGGACAGAGCTCTGATTTTCATCTTACTTGCTTTTTCTGTTTGGATCCTTTTGTTCTTTCCATGGAGCTACAGAATTTAAGTACTTTGAAAAAGTTTTATGTTTATTTCAGCCAAGTACCTCTTCCGAGAATTGCCTGGAATTAGCTGTTCAGTAGTTTGTTTAGTTATTGTTGTAGAGAAATTTCTCCAGTAAGACTCTGCTGTGTTCTTTCCACAAGATTCTTCCTTTTCTGAATTGAGTCGAAATGATGTAATAGCAAGTTTGTTAATGTAATGCCATAAAGATAGAATGTAGAATGACACAGTGAGAGTTGAAAAAAATATCTTTGTGGAGCCTAAGTAGATTACATTTTATGTACTGCCCATTGCCTGTCTCACCATCAATTGCTGCATGTACATGAATGTTATCTACAAATTAGTTTGTGATAGGGTCCCTAACAATGTTTCAGGGACATTGAATTGGCTGTCTGTGTGTATTATCTTGCTCCACTAATCTGTTCCTCTTAGTAACACAATGATGTAATCTGCGGTTTCTGTTTTATAGGTATAGGTAGGGAGGTTAAGAGGAATTAAATAACATTCCTGAAATTACCCAGATGTATAGTTATAGGGCCTTTAACACTCTAGGAGTAGGGATGGGATTAAAGTCCAGGTATCTGGATTGACAGCCATGCTGCCTTATGAAGGGACATTATAAAGGTAACAAGGGGCTGGTGCTGTGGTGTGGCTCAGCCTCTGCTTGTGGTGCCAGAATTGTGTCCCAGCTGCTTCTCTTCTGATCCAGCTCTCTGCTATGGCCTGGAAAAGCAGTGGAAGATGGTCCAAGTCCTTGGGCTCCTGCACCCACATGGGAGACCCAGAAGAAGCTCCTGGCTTCTGGCTTTGGATTAGCCCAGCTCTGGCCGTTGCGGCCATTTGGGGAGTGAGCCAGCGGATGGAAGATCTTTCTCTCTCTGCCTTTCCCTCTCTGTAACATTGCCTCTCAAATAAATAAATAAATATAATCTTTAACAAAAAACAATAAATGCTTTCTAATAAAAAAGGTAACAAATACATTGTAAAAATTAAAAAAAAAATGGAGAATGTCTTCATTAATACAGACCTGTGAGATAATAAACTTAATACATATTTCAGGAATGACTAGATTTCATTATGTGGGAACTACAGGAAAGCACAGTCATGTTTAGATTTTTTTTTTTGAAGATTTATTTATTTACTTGAAAGACAGAGTTACACAGAGAGAGAAGGAGAGGCAGAGAGAGAGAAAGAGGTCTTTCACCTGATGGTTCACTCCCCAATTGGCTGCAGTGGCCGGAGCTGCACCGATCCCAAGCCAGGAGCCAGGAGATTCTTCTGGGTTTCCCAGGGCCCAAGGATTTGAGCCATCTTCTGATGCTTTCCCAGGCTGTAGCAGAGAGCTGGATCGGAAGTGGAGCAGTCGGGGACTCAAAATGGTGCCCATATGGGATGCCAGCACTGAAGGCGGAGGCTTTACCCACTATGCCACAATGCCAGCCTCGATTTTTTTTTTTTTAAGATTTTATGCATTTGAAAGGGTTAAAGAGAGAGAGAAAGAGAGAGAGGTCTTCCATTTGTTGGTTCACTTCCTAGATGGCCGCAACAACCAGGGCTGAGCTAGGCTCAAGCCAGGAGCTTCATCCAGGTCTCCCCCATGAGTGGCAGTGGCCTATGCACTTGGGCCATCTGCTGCTGCTTTTTTCCAGCCATTGACAAGGAGCTGGATCAGAAGTGGAGCAAACGGGACTTGAACCAGCACCCATATTGGATGCTGACATTGCAGGCAGCAGCTTTACCCACTATGCCACAGTGCTAGCCCCCATGTTAGGATTTTTGGTTTAGCAGTTAGATACATCCCTTCCCTTCCCTTCTCTCATTTCTTCTATTTCCGCTGTTTGCTATGTCCTCTTTCTTAATGGTTCCTTTATTTTGTTTTATGCTACTTCTCAGTTCTGCTCTCGTACTTTCCCTACCTTAGAAGAGTACTTAAATTGTCAAAGTCAGAACTTAGCTGCATCAGAAAGCAATAGTGAGTGTGTAGGTGTGGGCAGGTCAGGACTCTGGGAAGTGTGGCTCTCAAAGCTGGGACCACAAAGGATCTCAGCCATGTGCTCTTGACAGCTTCTCCTGTGCCTGGAAATCTCACACAAGCCTCTTTCTTTGTCCTTGTGCCTTCAGTTCATCTACTGCCTAGGCACTGAGCTAGCCTAGTGGTGCATGTAGAACTCTATTACCCAACCATTGTCATTATGACGGTATGCTGTCCAAGGTATGTGGATAATCCACTGACCCAGTGAGGCAGCCCTGACCAAAGCTAGCAAGTATTATTTTAGGTAGGGAATTTCAACAAAACAAAAGTCAGGAAAATTATAAAACAAAGGGAAGTTTTAATTTGGGTTAAATTGAGGGAAGGAGGAAAATTTACAAGGAAGCCAGTCTAGATGTATGGGGAAACATTGTTAATTGTGTATTTTTTAGATATGAATGAAGATAATGACTTTTAAACTACATCATACCTTGTGTGTTTATGAATTTAATCTTTTTAAATGTTCACCTGGAAAGGCTAAAATCTAAAATGACTTCTAAATACTGAGTATTTGCTGTGTGCTGGTTAGGGGCGGCCATTAATTATTTTAGACCTCCCTCTTGGGGAGGTGGGCCTGCTATTTGAGCTGGTTTAGGAACATGGTGTTCACTTTGGGTGGGCAAAATAAATCATACACTAGACCTGAGAATCAATGTTTTCAGGCTGTTGCTGAAAACTAGCTTTGCTCATAGAAGGAAGATTTCCAAATGTGAAAGCTGCTGAGAGGAGTGTAAGATGCCTCCTGAGTGCAAGGGACCAAGCTACGCTGCGAGTGTTAATTCACTCGCGCTCTTATATCCTGGTCTAAAGGGGAGTGCAGACATAGCTGAAAACTAGCACGTCAGTGGGTGAGGAAGGCACAAACAAGTGTGAAGTGAGTTTAAGGAACTTCAGGTTGGAAGTACCCTTTTTCCACCCTAAACAGTTAAATATCATAGGTGTGCTTTCTTAAATTTAAAATCTGTTATTTTTAAGTGGATTCAATAATGAACTCTGTACAAAATAAGCATTACCAGGAGAAGCCCTGGAGGAATGTTTTAATCATTAGGTAATACAATTTAAAAAAAGTTTGAGTGTCTCTGGAAAATCAGAGGTGATTAAGGCAAGATCCTTACCTTTAAAGAACTTAATCTAGTAGAGATTTGAATTATTTGCTTTTAGCATATATAAGTTATGTTTGGAATAATAAACCTTTGCTTTATGGATAATAGAAATGTAAAGTTTAGCCAAATTCCAAGTTAACACATTTTAATTTTTGAAGTTTTAAAACTACCCATATTATAAAAGAAGTACATACTTATTGAAAATAGCCAGAAACACAATTATACCTTGAGGGCATAGAAAGACACTTGGTTTGTTCAAGGCGATTCCTTATGGATTTTTTTACTTAAATTATGCTTCCTTATGGATCATGGTTTTTTGTTGTTGTTGTTGTTGTTGCTGTTGTTGTTCATCCATCCTTCCTCCCTTCCTCCTCCCCCCATTTTCTTTCTTTTTGGTATTCTTAGTTTATACTTCAATGCCAAGCTTCTAATAGATGCTCAATAAATATGTCTGAAACTGAATGTAGCTTCATCATCTGCTGCTTTGGACTCTTTCCACCTCCCAAGCCTGTGAAAGTTTGCCTATACTCTGTATATTTACTTACCGTCTTCCATTTCTTCACTTGTCTTTGTGAATCGCTTTCTTCAGATCAAAATCAAGCTTTGCGACTCTGTCTGGGTAGCACCAGTGTTGGAGGTCAGTATGGAGCCATCTCTGCCCTCAGTATTAACAATGACTGCTCAAGACTTCTTTGTGGCTTTGCTAAAGGACAGGTAAGATATGAATTTTCTTCTACTTGCAACAGTGTTATAACAATATCAGTTTTAAAAAATTAATGTCTGGGGCTTGCACTCTGATGTAGCAGGTAATGCCACTGCCTGCAGTGCCAACATCCCATATGGGCACCGGTTCGAATCCTGGCTGCTCCACTTCTGAATCTGCTATGGGCTGAGAAAACAGTAGAGGATGGCCTAAGTCTTTGGGCCCCTGCACCTTTGTGGGAGACTGGGAGGAAGCTCTTAGCTCCTGGCTTCAGATAGGCGCAGCTCAGGCCATTGTGGTCATCTGGGGAGTGAACCTGGGGATGGAAGACCTTTCTCTCTCTCTCTCTGCCTCTCTCTCTCTCTAACTCTGCCTTTCAAATAAATAAACAAATATTTTAAAAAATTAAAATTAATGTCTTAGATCAGTATTTAGGAGACCAATATATATATGTTATAAAGTGATAGATCTGTAGATCTACCCTGAGATTGTTCAGTCTGCCTTTTATTGTGGTCAGATATTTTAATGGTTGTTATTGATTGAGCCAGAGTCTAGAATTTATTTTATATCCTAACTCATGTATCTATTTGAGTAAAGAGCTTTTATAAATCAACCAGAGTGCTATATAAATATACATCTTTACAGCATTATAAATAATTGTGGCTGCTTTTTTGAAATTTTTTTTTTTTTTTCTCTTTCTTTTCAAGTATATTAGTTTGAGAGGCAGAGATTAAGAGAGAAAAAGAGTGAGCTCTTATCCACTAGTTCACTCCCCGAATGCCAGAAATAGCCCACCTGGGACTGAAGCCAGGGGCTATGATCTTAGTCCCAATCTTTCAAGTGGGTGGCAAGCATCCAACTACCTGAGCCATCACCAGCGCCTTCCAGGGTCTGCATTAGCGGGAAGCTGGAGTCAGGAGCTGGAGCCTGGTATTGAACCCAGGCACTCCAAAATGTCATGTGGGCATCCTAAATGGTGTCTTAACTGTTAGGACAAATGCCATGCACCCCTCCCCCACTTTCTTTTTTGGTGGCTGTTTTTTAAATATCCTGTACTCTGCTTTCTGTATTCTTATTACTGTGTTCCTGGATAACTGTTTTGGCATTCTTTCTTTCCACTTCTGATACTGGTGATAGGTTCTGGTGTTTCCCATCTTCTGATTTATACATCACTAGCTGGTTTGGCCGTAAGCCTTTCCTATGACTTTACCAATGCTAAACAGATTGGCTTATTAGAGAAATTTCATTTACCACTGAGTATAAGAACAGCATTGAAAATCCAAAGGGAAAAGTAGGTGGGGCAGGATGAGGGGTAGATGAAGATAAAGGCTCCATGCTTTAATGGGTCTGCAACCTTGAGGTATGTTTTAACTTTATAGTTCTTTGCCTGCGATGTTTATAGACGAGGACTAGATTATTGCAGCCAGAAGGCAGGATACTTAAGTCCAAAAAGAGCAATAAATTTGTTTTTAAAGCACTTAGTTGTCTTATAGATCACCATGTGGGATTTGGCCAGTGGAAAACTCCTAAGATCAATAACAGATGCTCATCCTCCAGGAACAGCTATATTGCATATCAAGGTAATAGCTCTGTTTTCTTTTTCTAATAATTTTTATGATTATACCTTCGTGTCCTTTTTAAGGTAAATTTCTCCATATTGATAATTAGAAGTTCAAAAAGTATATTTAACATGAAGCTGAACACTTTGTATAAATAGAATTATTCACTGTGAACTATGTTTTATTTGACTAACCCAACAAGTTGTTTTCTTTATATATTCAGCTTCAAGTTGTATTGAGGTCTAATAGATACAGCAGATTGATGTGATCTTAGACTAGGGGTTGGCAGCAAAGACAAGCAGCACCCTGCTGAGAACTCAGGTGGGACTTAAAAGGTCTTTTACCTTTCTGAATCTGCCAAAGTTTTATTGCTCTGTCAGTCTTTGTTGAAAGTTGCCTGCAGTTCAAGGCAGCAATTGTCAGAGAACTGGGGTTTGGACTATGTTTAGAAATGAATCTGTTGGTTTATTTTCTTTCAGGCCTCAAAAGGGGAAGCATTAAGATCTTAGTCTTGGTTTCTCCTTCCAGGCCTGAAAAAAATAAACTGACTTAGGTAACAGATTTCATTTATAAATACAATGTGAATCTTGATTCTTGCATGCTGGCAAGCCTACATTCAGAAGCATAAAAGATAAAGACTATAACTAGAGAAGTCTAAAATCAGATCTTCTAGATTTTAATCATGTACACATTTTGTTGCTTAGCTGTGCAGAGCTCTCTTATCCATACATATGCTTTTTAAAGTCTGCAAGCATCTGGAGTTTATATGTCTGCATCTAGGTTAGTTACAAAAATGTCCTTTGTGACAAAGGAACATTGAAGAAGCATTTAGTTACAATGAAAACAAGCAAGACAAGGAAAAGGAGGGAGAATTTTTCCTCTTTTAGAATATTATGGTAATGTACTTGACCTCTTTTTCATATGACATCTGCCAACTTCTGATATGTTACAATTGTTGGTGTATGTGTCTTACTTACCTCTTTTAATAGGTTAATATCTTCGAAGGCAGATGCTGTTTGTCATCTATTTTTGTGTTTTACCTCTAGTAGCTGCTCAATAAGTGTTTGATTGAGGAAATAAGTAGTTAAAGCTGTCAAAAAGGGCCAGTCCTGTTTTAGAAAGCAACTTCCTAAAATTCCAGGGAGAAACAATAAGAAACAGAAGAGAAAAAGGCAGAAAAGAGAAGAATTCTGAGATTAAAAGCACACTAGTAGGAGCCGTTGTGTTGCTTGCGAATGGTGATGAAAGTGTGTGTGCAGGTGCTGACGTGAGAGAAAGAGATACATGTGACTGAATACTTCTGAAGCCTTGGATTGACAGTGGCCACTTGACTTCAGCGCTCTCACTCATTGTTCTCTAAACTTAATAGTGCGTTCTGTCAATAACAGTTTGGGCTTGCATGCTGTGTGTGTGTGTGTGTGTGTAATTATAGGAATGTGCTTCACTACTTTTAAAGTACATTTTAAAGTGTATACACAAGAAGTAGAAAATTAAACAGAATATTAATTCTATTATTTTTCCTACACTCCAGTGAACCATCTCCTGCACACCCCTAGGGCATATGCTTGCCACTTTGGCAACTGTTCATCTAGGATTTGAGAGCAAAGATGTACAGCTTCTGTGCTGTGTTGCTATGCCTGTGTTTGGGGTTGAGGAAGAATTTTACAGTGGTCCCCTTGACCTCAGCCATCCCTGACCCAGAACATTGAGGCTTCCCATTCAGCATGGGTCACCAACCTTTGAATTTAGTCACTGTAAATGATGAAAGTTAAGTTATCTCATTCTGTGTCCTGTAACTTTTAAAATAACGTTTAGCTATTTACTTTTTATTGATTAGAAAGTCAGAAAAATCTTTGAAAATGCCTACTCCCCCAGATGCCCACAACAGCAAAAGCTGTACCAGGCTGAATCCAGGAGCCAAGACTTCTATCCAGGTCTCCTATGTGGGTGGCAGAAGCCAGGTACTTGAGCCATCACCTGCTGCCTCCCAGAGTATACATTTGTAGGAAGCTGGAACTGGCAGCAGAACTGGGACGCAAACACAGACACTCTGATATAGGATGTGAGTGTCCTAAGTAACATATAAACTGCTGTGCCACACCCCTGCTCCAGTGTCCTGGGACATTTGTCATACCCCACATGACCCTAAGACTGTTTGTTATTGAGAATATGATTTTATTTATTATTCTGAGTGTTCCAGGTTAGGTAATAATAATTGAAATTTACTCTGTGGAAGGTCAAGGAAGTGGCATATTTAGGAAGACTTACATAAAAAGTTAAAATGTTTTGGTTGTATTCAGACAAGTTTATTTCCCAGAGATAGCCAGTATGTTTTACTCTGTCTTTGTTCTTGAAAACCAGGAAACTACAACTGTATCTAGAGGCTCCTGTTCATCTAATAGCAAGTTAGAAAGCCTTGGTGTAAGACCCAAGTAGAGAGCTTCAGGGTCTTTTCAATCATAGTTTTTAGTTTTCTTTTATCCTGATGAAAGGCAGTTTTGCTTGAAAGCCACAGTATTTTAAAGATATTAAGTGATTTCTATTCTAAATAAGGGTATACATTTTTATGTTTTGCATGATGAGCTGAATCTAGTTTAAGTTATTTCAAATGCCATTATATGTGCTTAGTGTGGATTTTCAAAATTTAATAATTTTCCTTTATCTTCCTAACACTACACTGGTTGCTTAAAAATCTACAAGAAAATAAATTCTGTCTCTGTTTAGTTTACAGATGATCCAACTCTTGCCATTTGCAACGACAGTGGAGGCTCTGTTTTTGAACTGACATTTAAGTAAGAGACTCTTGGGACATTTGTTGACAAATAAAAAGACTACATCTGGCTTAGTGATTTGAAATTGAACATGAAGAATTCTGGAAAGCCCACATGATTGAAAATAGATAATGGCTGTGTATTATATTATAATTACCTGAGGAGACTTATTGGACCTGAGTTCCAGGCCTGATCTTCTAAAATTTTCTCCTAATAGGTCTGAGTTGGGAATCCCGAGGGACTCCTGTGTGCTGTCAGGCTTAGGAGTCACTTTCTGGAGTCACTAATTCTGGTCTAGGTTCCAGACCAGTTGATTATAACCATAATAACCAGGTGTGAAGATGTTTTTAATAACCTTTGTTTACTCCTTAAGTAGGTGTAAACACTGTGTAGATACATGGAAGAACATTTATGAAGGTGAGGTTTAAAAAACATGTAGAAGATAATATTCAGCATATATTATGTTTCCATAAATTCTTCAAAGTTAGCAACCATCTTTGTTTCTTGTATTTCTCATAGCTTCTAACAATGCTGAACACAAGGCAATTGCTGAAAAACTGCTGTTTGTTTATTCAGCTAATGTTTAATGAGCATCTTCCACATATAGGCATTTATTTAGATACCAGAATCACAGCTATGAACCAGGCAAGGTTTCTGCTGCAGTAGAACTTACATTTTAATTGGGATGAGAGTAGGGAGACAGATTATAAAACAACATGTAAATGAAGTAACCTCAGATAGGTATGAGTGCTGTGTACCAAATTAACAGGTCAGTGTGCTGGAGTGCACTTGAGGATAATTTAGAAAGATCTTTCTCCGAAAGTAACATTTGAAAAAAGACCTGAATAATGAGCCATTCAACACATGCCAAGATCTGGAGGAAGTGTTCTAGGCAGAGAACATTCGACCACAAAGGCTTTGGAGGTGGGCACCAGCTTGGCTGGCTGATGAATGGAAAGCAGGCGGCTGTGGCAGAAGTGTGACTTTGTCAGGAATGACAGGAGTGGAAGAAGAATAAAATCAGGAGCTAGATCAGATAGGGCCTTTGGAGACATGGAGAAAGCATTCAGGTTCTATTTTTCACACAGTGGCAAACCGGTGGAGTGTTTTTAGCTGAAGAGTGACAGATCTGCCTGTATGGAAGAAGATTGTACCATTATCATGTGGAGTTTGAATTGTTAGGGGAAATGAGTAGGAGTCAGGAGGCTATTGTCACGTGCAAACTAGAGATAGCAGTGCTGTATGCATTGGTAAATTGATTCTGAACTTTTTGGTTACATTTTCAGAAGAGTGATGGGAGTGAGAACATGTGAATCTAGATGTCTGTTCAGTGGTTCCAAGGGTGAGGTTTGCTGTATTGAGCCTCTGCACTCTAAGCCTGAATTGAAGGATCATCCCATCACCCAGTTTTCATTATTGGCCATGGCATCCTTAACAAAGGTAGGTGTATTTTGAAAATGAAACTCATAACCTTTAGATGCTTTGAACACCAAACGATAGAAAATGATAAGGTAAATATTGAAAAACTGTTTTTCTCCTAAAGATACTGGTCATTGGATTGAAACCCTCCTTGAAAGTGTGGATGACTTTTCCCTATGGACGGGTAAGTAAGCCTCTTTCTGTTACTGACAAAAATAAGGGATGTGTCAGAAAGTTGAGGGAAGTGCCTTGGAAGGGGTGAATCCTGAGAGATGATCAGAAAATGAGGTAGCATGGAAGTCAGTGCTCCAAGGATCCCTGTTTGAATTCACTGTGAGATGACCAGAGAGCATTACCTGGTGACTAGAGCAATGTCCTGGGGATCAGGAGAGCTGATACTTTTTTACTTTCATCTCTTTGTTTTTCTCTCATTAGTAGTACATAGCTGGCTTTAAGAAAAAATGCATTTGAAAAACAGAGACACACACAAAGACATTTTTCATTTGCTGTTTCACTCCCCAAATGCCTGCAACAGCCACAGCTGAGCCAGGCTGAAGCCAGGAGCTTGGAACTTGGTCCGAGTCTCCCACATGAGTGGCAGGGACCCTATAACATGTGCCATCATCTGCTGCCTCCAAGGGTGTGCTGGGTCCAGGAAGCTGGATTGCGCGTGGAGCCAGGACTTGAAGCCAGGGACTCTGATATGGGATGTGTGTGTCCCAAGTGATGTCTTCACCATTGTGCCAAATGCTTGCCCCTGGCTTTTGTTTTTAACCTCAGCTTGACAGTCTCTGTGGTAGTACTTATGGTCACACTCGATTGCATGCATGGACTTTCTTAGCCTCCTCTTCTGCCCTTTTGAGTGCAGTGAAATGCACTTAGTGGATTTGAAGCTGAATTGATATATTTTTAGCAGCCCCAATTTTCAATGTTTGAAAAATGTTTTTGTGTGACTGCTGAGCTGAAGCAGGATTTTGTCACTCTCTGCTGCTTTGATGCTGAACTACTGATAATGTTCACCCACATAATTCCCTTTCTCTTTTTTTTTTTTTTTTGACAGGCAGAGTGGACAGTGAGAGAGAGAGACAGAGAGAAAGATCTTCCTTTTTGCCGTTAGTTCACCCTCCAGTGGCCGCCGCGGCCGGTGCACTGCAGCCAGCGCACCGCGCTGATCCGATGGCAGAAGCCAGGTGCTTCTCCTGGTCTCCCATGGGGTGCAGGGCCCAAGGACTTGGGCCATCCTCCACTGCACTCCCTGGCCACAGCAGAGAGCTGGCCTGGAAGAGGGGCAACTGGGACAGAATCCGGCGCCCCAACCTGGACTAGAACCCGGTGTGCCGGCGCCACAAGGCGGAGGATTAGCCTATTGAGCCGCGGCACCGGCCTCATAATGTCCTTTCTAATTACTGCTGCATAGGATTTCCTTGGCTTCTGCCTCTGATATTTTACTTTTTTTTTTTTTTTAAAGATTTTATTTATGTTTATTTGAGAGGTAGAGTTAGAGACAGTGAGAGGGAGAGACAGAGAGAAAGATCTTCCTTCTGGGGCCTGCGCTGTGACACAGCAGGTCAACAACCTGGCCTGAAGCACCAGCATCCCAAATGGGTGCCGGTTCTAGTCCCGGCTGCTCCACTTCCAATCAAGCTCTCTGCTATGGCCTGGGAAAGCAGTAGAAGATGGCCCAAGTCCTTGGGCCTCTGCACCCATGTGGAAGACACGAAAGAAACTCCTGGCTCCTGGCCTCGGATAGGTGCAGCTCCAGCCATTGTGGCCAATTGGAGAGTGAACCACCGGATGGAAGACCTCTCTTTCTCTATCTGCCTCTCCTCTCTCGGTGTAACTCTGACTTTCAAGTAAATAAATAAATCTTTTTTTTTTTTTTTTTTTTTGACAGGCAGAGTGGACAGTGAGAGAGAGAGGCCATTGGAGGGTGCCGTTGGTTCACCCTCCAATGGCCGCCGCTGCCGGTGTGCTGCGGCCGGCGCACCACGCTGATCTGAAGCCAGGAGCCAGGTGCTTCTCCTGGTCTCCCATGCGGGTGCAGGGCCCAACCACTTGGGCCATCCTCCACTGCACTCCCGGGCCACAGCAGAGAGCTGGCCTAGAAGAGGGGCAACTGGGACAGAATCCGGCGCCCCAGCCGGGACTAGAACCCACTGTGCTGGCGCTACAGGTGGAGGATTAGCCTAGTGAGCCGCGGCGCCAGCCCAATAAATAAATCTTAAAAATAAAAAATAAGATCTTCCTTCTGTTGGTTCGCTCCCCAAATGGCCGCAATGGCCAGAGCTGCGCCGATCTGAAGCCAGGAGCCAGGTGCTTCTTCCTGTTCTCCCTTGCGGGTGCAGGGGCCCAAGGACTTGGGCTATCTTCTACTGCTTTCCCAGGCCATAGCAGAGAGCAGGATGGGGAGTGGAGCAGCCGGGACTAGAACTGGTGCCCATATGGGATGCTGGCACTGCAGGTGGCAGCTTTACCTACTACACCACAGCACCTGCCCATGATACTTTACTTTGAGGTTTAAATTTCCCAGAACTTGTTGTTTACACCACAGTCTCCCTTTGCCTACTTAGTTGTTTTTACGAAGTTCTGATCTTCCATTGTATCTGTGAGGAGAGATGTGGCTGGGATGAGGAGGAGGGGGATGGTGCAGAACTCTGGCTACTGCTGAAAGCAGCCCCTCCCCCCTATGGAAATCATGCTTGCCTTCTTGTTGGTGCCCATAGAAAATTAGCTCTGTCCTTTCAGATGGCAAGGCTGGCTTAGGTTGCCATTAGCATCTCTTAGGCTTATCATGGGGTATGTGTTTGATTCCTTGTATATGTTTTTATTGGTATTTTTCTCTAACATTTTATTATGAACATTTAAAGATAGAGAAAAGAATTTTACATCGATCATTTGTAAACCTACTATCTAAATTGTACCATTAGCATTTAATTATACTTCCTTTATTATATAGATACCTATCTATCCACCTCTCTATTTACTTATCAAACTATTTTAATTTTTATATATTTCTAAATAAATTGCAGAAACAGGTACCCTTTTCTGTAAATATTCAGTATGCATATCATTAGCTAGAGTTTGATGTTTGTTTCAGTTTTTCCTTTGATATTTGCTTCAGTTTTTCCTTTGTATAAAATTTATACCCAGTAGGGCTGGTGCTGAGGTATAGCAAGTAAAGCCGCTGCCTGCAGTGCCTGCATCCCATATGGGTGCCAATTTGAGTCCCGGCTGCTCCACTTCCCATCCAGCTCTCTGCTATGGCCTGGGAAAGTAGTAGAGGATGGCACAAGTGCTTGGGCCCCTGTACCCATGTGGGAGACCTGGAAAACTCCTGGTTCCTGGCTTTAGATTGGCCTAGCTCTGGCTATTGCTGCCAAATGGGGAGTGAACCAACGGATGGAGGACTTCTCTCTCTCTCTCTCTGCCTCTGCTTCTGCCTCTCTGTGACTCTGCCTTTCAAATAAATACGTCTTAAAAAAACACTTTTTTTCATACAATGAAATGCACAAATCTCAATTGTACATTTGCTGCACTTTAACAAATGCATATACTTTGTATTCCACACACTGATCAAGACATAGAACATTACCATCAACTCAGAAAGTTCTTCCTGTATCATTGGAATTTTTCTGAGAAACTGGATAAAGATTTACCAAGAACACCAGTCAGATGCTGGTTTTAACAAGACTTTTTTTTTTTGTCCTTTCTTTTGTTAACTTTGATGCCTTTTCCTCCTTCTCTTTACTTAGATGGATCCTTCCAGTGTTCCACTGCTGGCCTGGCACTTTGTAGCTGTGCATAATTATGTGAATCCCATGCTTGCCTTCTGCAGAGGAGATGTTGTTCATTTTCTGTTGGTGAGTCAGAGTAGGATGCCAGTTCTGTTACAAGATCTTTTCATCCTAAATTTTATTTCCTAATTCACTAGTAATTTAATATTATGTCAAAGATATATCTATCCTACTATCATACGTTTTTGGAGAGACCTATTTTTTATGTAAATCTTTAATGGTTAACAAGGAAAAAAAACTGCTCACTCTCTGCTCCATAGCCTTTCATGGTTTATTTTTCAGTTCTGTCTTCTTTGACTGACAGATAATTAGTAGTTTATCCATATGTACAAACGTGAATGTGAATATATCTGTACTGATGGTCTACCTATCTACATATATATTCTCTACATTGTGATAGGCCCAAGAAACAGTTGAAAGTATAAAATATAATTCATTCTTAATATTGTTTAAAAGGCAAAAACACCGGTATATTCATTACTAGTAGGGAGAACAGTTTAAAGAGTGAACTGTGTGTTGAGAATCAAAAGTTAACATAAATGCAGACTACACAGAGATTACTATAGACAAGAGAGGCCATGTAAGGTTTGACAAAGGATATATGGAAAATATTGCACGAGGTGAAGGTAAGCATCCTGGGGGAAACGAGGTGAAGTCACAGAGTTGAGAACATGCTTGTGTGGTCTCTTCTGGGTGTGCTGGTGGTGAAGCAAGTGCACCACTGTCCACCTCGTTTCTCTAGCCAGAAGGCAGAGTTACTCTTCTCCCTTCATATGTGCTCCATCACCAAGTCCTGTTGACTCTTGCCTCCACAGTCCCTTTCTCTCCTTCTGTCTCTTCTATTGCTGCTTCCCTAGTATAAATCACATACATTTCTAGCCTCCAGGCTGTACGAGCTTCCTAACTATTCTCTCTAGCATCAGACCTTTTCCATATGCTGTCACTTCTGCCTGAAAAGCTCTGTGCTGTCTTCCACTTTATCCTAGCTCATGACTAACATTGCCTTCCTCTACTTCCTGAACTTAGTTATGCTTCCTGCTACATATACCTGTAAGACCTTCTCCTTTGACAACATTCAGACATCTTTAAAATACTTGTATAATGTTTCTCTTCATCACTCGACTAAAAACTCTGTTAAGTCTCGGGATCAGCTGTACTGTCATATTTCCAGCCACTAGGAAAGTGCATATATGTATTAGATGCTTAATAAATGTTAATAGAATTAACCATGGGGAGAACCCTATAATGAAAAATAAATTGAATATCTGGAGTAGATCTAGATTAGGATTAGGGGTTGGCAAACAATGGCCCATGGGCCAAATTGGTCAGCCACCTGTTTTGTAAATAAAGTTTTATTGGAATAAAGTCATGCTCATTTGTATGTTATTTATGGTTGCTCTCTCATTATAGTGGTAGAGTTGAGTAGGTATGACAGACTGTATTGTATGGTCTGCAGAATAAAACATTTACTGTGTGTACCTATATTAGTCAGTTTTCCATCACTATCATGAAATGCCTAAAGCTGAACACTTTCATAAAGAAAAGAGGTTTATTTAGCTCATGATTTTGGAGGCTCAAGAGTGTGGGACCAGCCAGCACCACAGCTCACTAGGCTAATCCTCTGCCTGCAGCGCCGGCACACCGGGTTCTAGTCCTGGTCGGGGTGCCGGATTCTGTCCCGGTTACTCCTCTTCCAGGCCAGCTCTCTGCTGTGGCCCGGGAGTGCAGTAGAGGATGGCCCAAGTGCTTGAGCCCTAAACCCGCATGGGAGACCAGAAGCACCTGGCTCTGGGCTTCGGATCAGTGCGGTGCACCGGCTGCAGCAGCCATTGGAGGGTGAACCAACGGAAAAGGAAGACCTTTCTCTCTATCTCTCTCTCTCACTGTCCACTCTGCCTGTCCAAAAAAAAAAAAAAAAAAAAAAAGAGTGTGGGACCAACATCTACTGAGCTCTGGTGAAAGCCTCCATGGCTGCATCCTACCGTGGATAGCCTTATGGCAGGAAAGGATGGTGTTGCAAGACAGGAAGCCTGAGAGTTGGGAGATGGCAATTTTGTGACCTCCTACAAAGCCCCACCTCCTAAAGGTCCGATCACTTCTTAACATTGTCCAGTTTGGAACCATGCTTCCAATACATGAACTTTGGGGGACACAGTTAAGCCATATCTGAACCATAACGGGTCTTTTTATAGAAAAAATTTGCCAACCTCCAATCTAGATGATATAATGATGGGCCTAGATTGGCAATAGGTAAGTAACATAGGTTCATAGATAATTAAAGTGATAAAGATGTGATTAAAATGGTATTTTAGGAAAATCATTCTAGAAGCAGCAAAAAGAATAGATTATAGAAGGTAGGAGGGAAATTAGAGGTTTTTCTGTTGCAGTAAAACGATGTGAAGTGTTTAAACAAAGACAGTTGGTTGCAATGAGAGGAAAGGCATGATGTTTTGAGGGAAAGACAACACTTCTCACATCTATGGACTGATGTGAATGAAAAAATACGTCTCTGACTTTGCATTTTATTTTATTTTTAAAGATATATTTACTGAAAGGCAGAGTTAGAATGAGAGGGAGGGAGAGTGGGAAACAGAGAAAGATTGAGAGAGATCCATCTTCCATCCAATGGTTTATTGTCCAAATGACTACTACAGCTGGGGCTAGGCCAAGCTGAAGCCAGGAGTCAGAAACTCTATCCGAGTGTCCCACGTGGGTGGAAATGTTCGAAGCAATTGGCCCTTCTTCTGCTACTTTCTCTCAGGCAGATTATCAGGGAGCTGGTTCGGAAATGGAACAGCCAGGACTGGAACTGGTACTCATATGAATGCCAGTGTCACAGGCAGTGGCTTAACCCACTTCTGTGCCACAATGCCGGCCCCTGAATTTGCATTTTAGAATTAAGATATATTTGAAGGGAGATTGTTTGGGGAGGAAAATTATGAGGGAAGAGTTGGCAACGTTGAGTTGGAAGTGAAGGTAGGACTCTCAAGTATTGTACCCAGGTCTGGAATGCAAATGGAATCCAGGGTAAAGAAGGTGGTTGAAGCTCTGAAATCAAAAGCCAGGGCATCTATAACCTTGGCAGACACTCATGCAGAGGAGAGGACAAAGAAAAGGAAATAGGAAAAGAGGTCATGTAAAGGCACATAGAGGTAGGAGGGGACACAGGACAGAATGGGAGAAGACAAAGGAAAGCCAGGTAGATCGAGAAATCTTCCATCCCCTGATTCACTCTCCAAATGGCCACAACAGCCCGGACTAGGGCAGGTTGAAGTCAGGAGCTGGAAGCTTCATCTGGGAATTCGATGTGGGTGCAGGGGCCCAAGCACTTGGGCCATCCTCTACTGCTTTCCCAGGCACGTTAGCAGGGAGCTGGATCTGAAATGGAGCAGCCAGGACTTTAACCAGTGCTCATAAGGGATGTTGGCGCGTCAAATGGTGGCTTAACCTGTTGTGCCACATCGCTGGCTCTTAAATAGTGTCTTTAAGAAGTAAGTGAAAGAAGGAAAAATAATTTTCATTTGAAGATGGAAAAATCAGAAGCATGTTTGAGAGCAGAAAGGAGAAGGGCCCTTGAAAATAAGCAGTTGAATATGCCAGCAAGGAAGGGGCACCATGGAACAGTGATGGGGGAGGGTAGGATGTTAGGGCATATATGGGTGAAGTGATTTTCTGTGCAAAGACTTCAGAAAATCATAGGGGAAAAGGTAACACTTGGTATTAGGTAATTTCAGTTTATGAAGCATTTTCAATGTATGCAATATGCAGAACAATTTTGGGCAGGCTTATTTTCATTTTACAGATAAACTCAGAATAAGTGATTGCTCTTGGTCACACAGCTGTAATAGTGGAACGTAAACAGATGGCTCTAGATCCCATGTTCATTTTACTAGAGCATGGTCTTATGGAGGAAGTGATTTAGTGACATGAAGATGACACTCCTGGAAGGGCCCGCATTAAGTGATCTCAGTTTTTGTGC